GGTCGTCTTTCAGCCTTTCTTACCTTGGCCATGTCTCTGAGTATTGCACACCTTGTGCTTTTGGGCACTCCAGTGATGTTGCAGCTCTGAAATATGGCACTCCCTGTATTATGGAGTTTTTCATTCCCACTGTCTCCAATGCTTGCCAATAAGGGGTCATATGATTGCTGGCTTTTTTCTGGTTTTTGTATTCTTGTAGGATCTTTACTTTACTATATTAAGTGCCTTGAGGCAACTGTTGTGTGTAATTTGGGACTATATAAATAAAATTCAATTGAATGCCCTTCCTGACAAAACCCTTATGCACAATGGAGCCACTGTTCATACAATAGTGGCTGTTAAACACTGAAAGTATTAAAACAAAAAGCTTTCAGAAATCCAAATGTAGAGCAGTTAGAGCAACGACACACAGTCTGCTTCACACACTGTCAGAAACTCAAGTTATTGGAGTTGTGTACTTTGTAAATACATTTTATTTTTGAGCTTTCTGTTTTCACTGAGTTTCACTTCATTAAGTTTCACTTGATTAACTTTCACTTCCACTGAGTTTCACTTCATTAAGTTTCACTTCATTAAGTTTCACTTGCACTGAGTTTCATTTCCAGAATGGGCTAAACATGCAGAAAGCTACCAGTGCCACTCAAGTGTAGCAGTGAACTGTAGAGGGTGCTACAGTGTTGACTTCCGGTTGAGTTTCCCTGAGTTATGTTTTATTTGAGATTTCAACTGCATGGAAGAGTTTAAGATAGTGAGACAAAACACAAATAAACCAGTTTCAATGGAAGTATTGAAACGTTTTAGTTCAGAGTCACTCTATGAAAAATCAGTTCTGAACCAGTATATGAGGACGATACAGTGGATATAAATGTCCCTTCATGTCCCCATACATTTATCACAAGTTGAACAGGCAGGTAAACAAATCATGAAGAGAGCATCCACTGACCCTGATACAAACTAGATTTTGCAGTTGATGTGCTTGTGGTTTTTAACAGACCTCAAACATACTTTCAGTCCAGATGTGGGTATCCCCTTGCTTAAGATATCCAGCAGGCCAAAGGATACAGGAAACATAATTAAAAGCAACAAAATGCTAATCCACCTCTTGTCTAGGTTAACTGGCTTAGAAAATATTCATGCTGTGAAGGTAAATGTTTGCATGTTTTAAACAGATTAAAGTTTAATAAATCAGGTGACTGAGGGGTCAAGAGTTGAAGATATGGTTAATTTGATTAAACTGTGGTCTTAACATCTTAAATATGATTTTGGCTGAGTGAGCTGTCAAACAGTTGATCTTTCACCTTTTACATGTCCAGGACAGAATACCATCAGATACAGTGTAACGCCTCTTTAGTGGCTTTTTGGATACTAAGTGGTAGTTACATAACTCCATTTAAATGTCTCTCAGTTCCATTGAGTACAGTTAAATTAGCTGTACTGACATGAGTACAGCTACATAACAGAGTTATTCCTTTTTCTCTTTGTACAGGATCAAAGCAGAGGACTCGATGGATGTTGGTGTGATTATGCTGTTTTATGGACTTTACTACGGCGTCATGGGCAGAGACTTTGCTGAGATCTGCTCGGACTGCATGGCTTCTACAATCGGGGTAAAAGACTTTTTTGCCCTCCCAGTTTAACATAGCAGCCTTCAGGTGGTTTGTGAATAAATAAACCTAACAGTGTTTTAAAGTACAATTAAATTTAAGCTTAAGTGCTTGCAAACACTACACATAGTCTTAGAGGCTGTCATCATTTTTGAAGTTTAACACAAACACAATCAAAAACAGTTTTGAAAGAAAATGGCTACAGAAACTTGACTGTTGTTTGTGTATATAAATCAATAAAAGTAAAACACAAAACAATAACAACATTTATGTGTATGCCTGCTGATGTTGCACCTGTGCGTTTTCAGTACTACAACAAGGGTGGCATGCCCAGCAGGAGCCTAACCAATGATATCTGTGCGGTCTGTGGTCAGAGGATCCTGGTGAACGTGGAGGAGGAAGGATTTATAGAAGACACCTACCAGCTCTCCTGTGGACACTTGTATCCTAAAGTCCTGTTGTTTCCTACAGGTCCAAAGGCTTTTTATAATTTCAAAAGATCTTGACGTATATCTGCATAGATCCCCAGGTCCAGGTAATCTTAAGTGCTTAAATCGAGGGCAGCTCGACTTCTTTTAAGGTTCTTGAAGACATTTAACCTCTAATCTGAAAGGCTTCTTCAACTCCAACAGCTGACGGGGAGTCCCAGTTATTTAATCATCCGTGGAGGTGTTCCTGAGAGACCCTAACTTGCCCCATTCACATGTGAATTGTTAGGTCACATGGGGCAAAGGTAGGATTGAGTCCTCCATCATCGTCTCCATCATCTTTTTGAACTGAAGAATATTAGAGGTGGAGTGTTACGCTAACTTTTATGCTTGCTAGCTTCAAGGACAAATTTATTGGATGGCCTCTTAACTGCACAGCAAGTGATATTATTTGATATACATTCAAATGCTCCAAAAGTGAAAAAACACGCTCGAGGTCTGGTTCAGTGACTTTAGTTAGCCAAGCTTAGCAGAGAAGTAGCAGCTACAGCCACCTATGTCAGGGAGCCGCCTGTAAATCAAAATGGCTTTAGTTACACAGATGGAGTTTATATGATGATGATTTATTTCAGTAAACAGGTTGCTCTTTCGGCCTTAACTCGATCCTCAACCAATAGGTTCCACGAGTTCTGCATCCGTGGCTGGTGCATTGTGGGTAAAAAGCAGACGTGTCCTTACTGCAATGAGAAGGTTGACTTGAAGAGGATGATGAACAACCCGTATCCTTTTGCTTCCTTTTGCTGTCCATTAAGGGCTGACAATTGAAGTATTGCTGGGGGGTTTTGTTATATGTTGGGTTTTTTTTAAAGAAAAGATAACATTGAATTAATGAACAAAAAAGTAGAAACTTCTTAAGATCTTCATAGAAAGTGATTTCTATGAAGCAAGTCATCTCCAAATAACTGAAAAAGCATAAAGTATTAACATTGCCCTTGTAACATTCAACATAATGTGCTTTTACTTATTTGATTTCACTGTTCTTTATCAGTACAGTGCACCCCTGAAATTTGTCTAGAAAACATGATGTTTGTCCTTAATGCCTCAATTTCCAGCTGGGAGAAGACGCATGTCCTTTACGGGCAGCTTCTCGACTGGCTCAGATACTTGGTTGCTTGGCAACCCATCATCATTGGTATCGTTCACGGCATTAATTTCTCCCTGGGCCTGGAGTAAAGCCCCGAGGAACACCGCCGTAAGTACGACTGGAGTCGAGTTACACTCAGGACACGTGTGATAGCAAACTGTCACAGTAGGCGCTACAAGGAACCGAATGCAGCTGCTTTCAAAGTTTTTTACTTCGTGTTCTCGGACTAAACTCTCACATGGTTTACTGCAGAGTAAACGGAAAGCGTCAGAGTCTCAACACGACCCCAAAACTGCTGCCAACCCAAACAGAATGATTGGAGCGCAGAGCCAGTAGTTTGACAGATCAATCTAGTTTGGTCTGGAAGTGTTGCTGTCATTCATGCCATTTCTGTTTACCTGAAAGATGCTTTACTTTGTTCTGTCTTACAGATTTTCGTGTTTAATTTGCACACTCCCCTTTTTTTTTGTTTCTTCTTTTTTTAATAAAACATTTCTCTTTCTCATTAGACTTAATCTGTATTTGATTGCTTATGATAAGGACAACTCTGGGTAACATTTGGACACATTGATTAATTGTAACATGACAGTATTTGACAGTGCCAATGCAAATTACTGAAGTACGCTGTGTACTATGTGTAATGTTGATTCTTTGTTATGCTGAACTGTGGTAGAAATGAAAGAATACGTCTCCTACAGCATTGATAAAACGCAAAGGTCCGGTGTGACTCTCGGCAGCAATTTGTTGCACAGTTTTCATAGAATTCATAAGGTGTTGTAATTTATCCTGCCATGTTAATGAAAGTGAGAATAAATCTGCTCTTATGCACTAGCTCTCTGGCATATTTGATCATGTGAATGTCATTCAAAGTTTAAACAGGTCTCATCAGGTGTTAGACTTGTAATAAGTGAATCATGTTTATCAAAGTCACAGTTCAGGTTTGATGAAAAATAGTTTTCCCTTGACTGTGCAGCCACAGTCGGATCACTCTGAATTCTCAGCCTGGATTTATGACATGGTCTTCTGGTTGTTTCATGCCTCTATAGTCACAAAGTGCACACTTAAATGTTGGGATTTCTATCATGCTTTCACCTAATGTTACTCTTGTTGTGAGAGGATGTAAGGTTGTGATAAAAATCACCTCAGAGCTTATTGTGTCCTCCAGGTTCTCTTCTAGTGAGGCCCATTATAAACGGTTTCCAAATTTCAGCTGAAAATCTGAAGAATACCATCCCTTTCCTGCAGCCGTGTCCATATAAATATCTCCAGGATCATGAAAAATTAGTATGTGGTCCAGCTATATAACACGCATTGCACTGGCACATTCAAAATATCCTAATTTTTTTTTTTTAGATAAACTTTGCCACACACAAACTACTTTATATTATATATTTGTTTACTTGGAGCGGTGATACTGTTTCCATCAACCACCAGTTCACCTGTAAAACCAACTTAAAAGTTGTTTTCTTGGATTCAGGATTTTCATATTAAAGAAAGATTTTGGTTAGTGAAAGAAAAACTTTTTTTTCTGTTGTCATGGAAAGGAGTAAGTAAATGCTGGTGGTAGGGCTTGGAGGTTTGAGTGTTTCACTTGCATTTAATAGTCTTTGGTTTGGCCTGTAAACTGAGTTTAGGAGTACATGTGAATAAAAACTATTACTAGATTCAGCACATGGCACCTCGACAGCCCTCAGTTGGATAATGTTCACAGATTGGGTTTCAAATCAGTTTTTAATAAGTAAACATTATCATAAACATTAAAGTAAATTTCCCTACTATTTACTATAAAGTGTTACCCAGTCCAGTCTAAATTGTTGTTGTTACACATTACACTGTTTACATTTAATGTACTCTTTTGTTTTTGAAAATAATTTGAGTGTCTGTTGTTGTAATTTATATGAAGCTGAGGTTGGTAAATGGTTAATTTAATGTAGCAGTAGGTGTCAACGTGTCACGTGTGTGTTTATGAATGAATAGACTTATGAAGCAAAACCTCCATGAACGAGCAGAACAGGGTCATTTAAATGCCCAGTTCCAGTCTGACACATAACTGCAGTCACTCCATTCGTTTGGAGGTTAATTCAGAACATTAATGCTTACTGAACAGGGACACGGTTACAAATTTGAGTTATTTAAGAATAACCAGTCGATTCCACATGTAATCACAACGTAGAAACAAAGATATTACCATTGGTTTATATTTGCATAAAGACACAGATTCTGCTTTTATTCAGCACAAATGTATATAAATACAGGTGCCAGTGCATATAGTGAATATAAAGCTTGATGAGATGTAAGGTGCATTAAACTCCAGAACTAAAATGAATCAAGTGACCAAGTGCCAAAGACTGTAGTTCCTTTAATGGCCATTTAAGGCTCTACAAACGAGGCAGTCCTCATAGTCTGCCTGCCCACAGATGCTAATCTACAGTGGCCCTGAGAGGTCAAACACACTGCAACTTCGGTTGAGTTGCAGTGTGTTTTATTCAACTGAAGTGTTTTTGAGGAGATGATAATGTGATGGAATAGCTGTGGAAGGGACAGGCCAGCAGTAAATAGCTAATGGTGAATATTTATCTACAGTATTATATGAATATGATTAAAAAGCACATTACAAGCATAATTTCCTCCCTCACAACACTGATGAACCCTTTGCTTCTTGCATCTCTTTGTGCAGTTCTTTGCATACTTTGGTTTCTGGCACTCCCACAGCTGTTTTGTCACCTTAATGTCTCCCCAAAAAACACTCTATTTTGTGTTGCCTGTTGATTTTGGTTCTTTTGTTATTAGTTTTTTTTTTTACTTCTATTGTGTTTTGTGTGCTTCCGGAGTATTTTTCTGTTTGCGGGTGCTTTCTTAAGTTGCATTGTGTTTGACCTCTCAGGCTCACCATACTTATCAGATAAAGCCAGTCTATGAGAATGTGTAAGGAACCGTAGGGACAGGGTCCCACTCTTATGTTTAAAATGGAATTTGTTTCAGTAACAGTGATGACCTGTAAACATTAACAGTTTGTACATGCGTCAGAAACAAAGCTTTTCTTGGCAAAGTCAAACTGCTCTCTTATCACGATTACTGCTGATGACTTTGTATTAATTAAGTAATAAAAACAACAAAAGGTGGTTAAAATGATGGAAAATAATTTTTTTATTGGACATGTGGTTTCATAAAGAAAATTCTGTTGCATGTTTGAAATATTAATTATGTCTGAAGGGTCATTCCTGTTTGCATAATTAAATTTATATAGTTCATTTACTAAATAAATGTGTGTTGGGCAGCTTTTTCATTGTAGTAAATGCTGTTTATTGGTAATGTGCTTAGAAAAATCGGACCGTAGCTCACTCTCACAGTTTCACCTAAGAGCTTTTGAGATTATTTCCACGTTAAGGACTTGGATAAGTGTTTATGAACTTGCACTCGTGAGGGCCATTGTCATCAGTGAGCAAGACTAGCTAACGTTAGCTCGGAAATAGAGAAAGTTAAAAAGAGCAGTTAATAATTTGCTTTCTTACCTGTTTACCTTTGCTCACTTATGAGAATTTTCATGATTGCATTTAAATGAAAATGGAAAACCCTCTTGATTACTCACCTGTGGTGATGCATTTAATATCTTAAAAAACAACCCTTTATTCACATTCTAAAAGTACACATTTTAAAGCTTATAGTAAATGCTTCTCACTTTTAATAACTCCTCTGAGTCATTGCCCACGCCAGATAGCGAACCCCTGGTCATGTGAAATCCATATTTCAGTGCCTCATAAATGTCCTTTTTCAAGATAAAGTGGTCTTTTGTCATTGCAATGTAAAGCAAACCTTTGCAATAAACTTGCCGTTTGATCAGTATCTTGATGAATAAGTCTTTTGTATTTTTGTTGAATACATGTGACTAGAGACTGATGAAACCCACCAATGTGCTTCCTTCTGCTATTAATACATTTTATTCTTTTTTTTAGTGTAAAGTTTCGTTTCATCAGGCTTACTCGTCTTGGCACTCTCTAAATTTAATTTTAGTTAATGTACTTTTAATTTGTATCATATTTGCTAAATCTAGCATTTACAATAACATTTGCTTCAAAATGTATTGTAATTTAAAGTCACGAAAAACATGTATCAAATTTAATACACTAGGCCAGGGGTCAGCAACCTTTAACACCCAATTTGGACCCAGTTTCCACGCAAAAGAAAACAATATCACAATAATCTTCCAATTCAGAACCACAAGTTAAAAAAGAATTAAAATAAATAAAATACACTTCAGCTAAATACTTCTAATTTATTTATTACCACGCCGAGCCGCACTATAAGGACTAACTAAGGCCTATGCGGCTCCGGAGCCGCAGGTTGCCGACCCCTGCTCTAGGCTTTAAAGGGTTAAAGCACATCCAAGAGAAAGATGTAATCCACAAAGTGCCAGGTTCTCTCTCAGGACACTGCAGCCAATCAAACAGCATGTAAATGAAGGAAAACACCATACTGATTCATTTATTCCTCTTACAGAGGGTTATACATTATAAAATCATATAATATCTCCCTCTCTTTCTTCACCCCTGTCCGCAGATACGACTCTAGACCAGTGGTTCTAAGAGCCACAGACATGTGCAAAGCTTAAATTACTCTTTTGATTCATTTAACTCAACTGTGGGTTTATTCCCACACTCACCCAACGTTTAACATGCAAAGTAAAAACGCCCCCAAAAGACCTCTTCACATGTGATTGGTTAATAGGTTACCATGAGATCAAGTCTCTCTTGTGTTGCTTGGTCACAGGTTCCTCCCGCTCAGTATCATTCAGTTGCTTTCCGCTTCCTTCCAGAAGTCAGCGGATCTCTCCAGCGCAGCAGTAGTTTGGTGAGTAAAAAACGATCGTCTGTAGATGTGTAGCTGCTGTTGTGCCTTTCTACCAGACACAAACTCACTCAGAGAGTTAGTGTTACCATGTTGGTCATCTAATTTGCTCTCTTATGAAGTCAGATAAACTACATCTGATATAACCAGTTATTATAGTTTTTTGTTGGTGTTGTTGTTTTTTAAGAATTGTTACCTTTAAGAAAAAACTGTCAAGTTTACAAGTTTCAGATGAAGTCTCCTCTTCAAACAGTCCTTTAGGTTTGAGAGGAGGGACTATAGCAGTCTGTTTGCTCACTGTGTGCCTTTGGAGTGTCAACCAGGAAGTCAATAAAATGTCTGTGAAATGAAACTCCAACTTAACACATGCATTACATACATAAAGAAAAATGTAACATTTTGGTTAATAATTCTGCTGGTTTATACTTCTTATTTTAT